CCAATACAGGAGTACGATTGTTGTGTTTCTCAAATGTGGAACCAAGATCTGCAAACAGAGATTCCATCTGTGAGCGGAAACTACCAAAGGTGGTATTGTATAACGCTTCTTCCTCTGTAAGTTCCTTGTTCTTCTTTTTACGGTATGGATGAGCGAAATTTTGGAATCTAAGAGTATCAGACTCATCTACAAGCCTCCTTAAGAACTGTGGATACCCTCCATCGAGAGCTATGCAATCCATCTCATGCACTCTCTTGTCCAACTTCATCGTCAGCAGCATTGTTCCATCAGCATTGTTCTTGCAAGATGCAGATTTGGAGACAAATAAAGCCATGCCATTACAATCCATTGCTACCTGTGTGCGTAATCCTGACTTTTTCAGCTTGTAAGAATACATATCAGCACTGCTCTCACCTTTGTATGTTGCTCTTGTATCATGACCATCAAGATGCAATGTGACATGCTTAAATAATACAGGATTCTTTTCCTTTGCAGACAATAGGCGTATTTTAATTGTGGAGAACATTGTTGCAATACAGTTGGTGATGTACTTATTGTGCAAAGTATATTCTTTCTTATAAAACACAGAGTGCATTGCATGAAAACTACTTTTTGGCATGTGTGGTTCCATTGCTTCCATAGACAGTCCTTTGACAAGATGATAGAGCATTAAAAGACCTTTCTCCACTTCTTTGTATGGCCCAGGATACTTGACTTTTGGCCAGATATCAACAAGAAAGAAGTACACTGGAATAGGTCCAAGGCGTCGATTCAGAGTCTCTTTTATTTGTGGCATAAACCCAATTTCTTTGCTTACAGTACGATGGTTATTACGTGGTGTAACTGTTGGCCATCCAGCGTCAAGGAAAGTCCAATGGTCATCAAGCAGTTGTTTGAAATGTTTTGTTAGAGCCATAATAATATTTATGTATTGGATTGTCATGACGTTGACCAACAATAACAATTTTTTAAAAATGCTCATACTTTACTGCATACACAAGAGCATGTAGGATGGTATCTATCAACTGTATCTCACAGCAAGCACATAGTTGAGAATACAAATATATTTTTATATTTTTTTTCGGTAGCGGCCCCTTCATGTGCAGAGGATATAAAAAAGCATATACAAAATATCCAAAGCCCAAGGAACGGAGTGTTGACTTCCATAGCTGATATATCTCTTCACAGTCGGCAACAGAACATAGGATAAAATAGCAACATATAGCACAATTTTTTTTTAAAATGTAATCTCTCCCCTGTATTTCACGACAAAGATACAGTTGAGAGTGCAAGTGCTTTAGATGATCACATACAAGAACTACTCAGGCGAATCTTGCAGTGATGGGTACAGTTTAATAGTAGATGAACACATTCAAGATATTGGTGAGCGAAAAATAAGAAGACTTTGTTGTTTGGAGAATGTAGTTGTGTTTAGTAGGATAATCGCGCAAGGAATGTTACAGTGGTTGTTTTAAATGGTTGATATCATACATACACTCTCCTCTAATGGACGCGGTGGATATCGTCAAGATCTGCAGAGATGTAACAAACACCATATGATAATTTGGACTTGAAAGGCCTCCTAAGCACATTCTGTCCACAGACAATCTCTACGTTTTCCGTTTCTCCAACGCGTTTAATGACAGACGAGTCAGCTAATTCAATGTATCCTTCCATTGGTTTAACCGGAATAGAATACTTTTTGACTACAGCTGCACTAATAAATGAATGTGTGGCACCAGTATCAATGAGTGCAAGATGTCGCTCTTGATTAAGATAAACAGGAACAAACAGTCGATTATCCGGCTGATGTTTTCGTTTACTTGAACCATAGTGCTTGTGTACTAACTCAAAGTCCTTCTCTCCAAAGGAGAATAATGGGTAACCATCACATGCGTCTGACACTGGGTTATCACTAATTGAAAATCTTTCGAAGGCCCTTAGGTACTCGTCGTCTACTACATCCTCGATGTTGTACTCGGCCGGTGCATTATCTCTTCCTTCTTTAACAATGCCCATAGCTCCATACTTCACCTTTGCTTGGTCGACAGCCACTTTAGCATCACCGCTACCTTCCCCCCCGTCGAGAGGATGCATCGGCAATGGACCTACATGAACTCTCATACCCAAACCGGATTCACCACGCAGTTTGCTCTTCAATTCGATTTTCGCAATACCCTTTGCATTCTTCTTTTTCTTCTTTCTCTTCTTCACTGTTTCACTCCGTGGGTTGATGTCACTGACATTCTTCTCGTCAGTTGTTGTTTCATTCACTATGACTACTTCTGTTAAACTGTGCGACTGCTCCTCCAGTTCATGTACATCAGTTTGTTGCATCTCACTGCTTGTTTCCACCTGTTTGGAATGCAGAATGAAAGACGCGTCGTTAGTCATGCGGTCATGTTCGACTTCGGTGACGTCACCATTTTCGTTACTCATCTCAACGACATCTTGGTCGACAACAGACATCTCACCACCATCTACTTCAACTTTTTCTTCAGATGCATCATCATACTCAACAGTGTGGTTTAGCTTACCATTGCTGTTTCCTCTGCCAGGATAAGGATGGTGTCCACGGTTGAAGTTCCTCTTGTAACCTCCACGACCATGACTGCCTCCTCGACCTCTAGGCGCACCAGAACCACTACCATTACCGAAGGCGCCACGTTGACCGCCGAATCCAGCATTCCCCTTCTGGACCGAACTGTCACCCGCTGTAGGAACTTGGTTGATGCTACCACCAGTAGTCCCCCCGACACGCGTTCCACTTGTCGTCGCAAGCGTTGCTGCTGCCGCTGCCCTCTTCTGCTGGTTGATGAGCTTATCCTTTAAACTCTGGGCCTGCCTCGCTGCTTCGTTATCTGCAGCCCCGGTCAATCGTCTCCTCTCCAAAATAACCGGTGCCCACTCATCACTGTCTGCGGGTCCCTGCATATGCTGCAAACTGTCCATATAAGACTCGAAGGTTGTTTCATCAGGTGCCACACCCAGCATCCCCTCAAGGACTGCAATGCGCTTCTGCAACAAGATCATCGTAAGAACGCTCGGGTCGACCGCTCTCTGCAGCAAGAATAACAAATCAGCGAACTTGGGTAAGTCCTTGACTTGGTACACATCCATCAACCTCTTCATCCGATGGTAGTACTGCTTGTACGATTCACCTCGTTCTAATCCCATCTTGATCACCTTCTCAACCTCATCTGTTCTCTCAGTCTGCGTCATAGCACTCTCCACAAACACTTTCTCGCATCTCGCCCACGGCCACTTTCCTTCAGGGTCACGACTCAAGACTGCATTCATGGCATCAGACGCTTTGCGATCCATATTCGCCAAGCACAACAACCTTGAACATCTCTCATCGAACCCGCCCGTCGTGAACTTTGTTACTCCTATTCTATGGAACTCGTACAGGAACTCTCGGACGTTGGTAATCAAGGGACCATGGATCTTGATGTCAAGAACAGGAAGCAGATGAGCCTCGACCAACCGATGGTAACGCGGAAACTCATTCGACAACTTGATCTCGTCAATCTTTCCACCCTTCTTAACCCCCAACTCCTCATTCTCCTCTCTGGTCACAACACTAGAGAATGCCGTCCTCCCCATGGACCTCTCAGCACTCTCTAGGTCATCCAGCATGACATTCCACTCGTTCATCGCGGTCTTGGCCTCAGCGATCTGACGTGTTAGTTCCGCCAACTTTGGTCGCTCCTGGTCGCCCTCCTCTTGGCTCAACCCTTGGATGCGCGCGGCTAACTGCATCTTCTGTCTCGTCAACGTCGCCAGTTGCATCGAATACTCCTTCATCTTTCCTCTGGCTGCATGGGCATCCATAAAGGAGGCCATCCATGTTCGGCTCCACCAACCATAGACTACAGTATAAAAATATCTGTCAACACCTATTAAAACAGTGTGTTCCTTGAGAGTACAACAAATCTCATCAGCTTTTTCCTTCCACCAGTCTCCATTTTCTACATTCACCACCACTACTTTGTAACATCATCTACTTTAGCTGAGAAAGCCTTGGACATGATCATCTCATATTGGAAAGGAAATTACTATCTGTAATATCTAGGATCCAATATGAGATGATCATGTCCAAGGCTTTCTCAGCTAAAGTAGATGATGTTACAAAGTAGTGGTGGTGAATGTAGAAAATGGAGACTGGTGGAAGGAAAAAGCTGATGAGATTTGTTGTACTCTCAAGGAACACACTGTTTTAATAGGTGTTGACAGATATTTTTATACTGTAGTCTATGGTTGGTGGAGCCGAACATGGATGGCCTCCAAAGTCAGAGCCAACAGTCTCCTGCATGTCAACATCAACGTCCATGCCTGCTCCCTCATCTCGACCCGACGTTAAGGTAAGTGCATCTAACGCACCTGTCGCATATTCGCCTAATGGCACCCTAAGATAGATGGAGACAATAGACTAGACTACCCTTAAGCTACATACCAGGGACAGCATAATAGACTGTACCTGGTGTGCCTAATACAATCCCTCTCTTTGTCTCATCAGTTACTTGTGTACGTATGATAAAACCTTAATATATCGCAGTTTTTTTGATGAATCCAAACGATTGTTTGATTGTGTCTATCCATCTATCAATCTATTGATACATTGTGCATCCACTGCCTTTGATCATCATTTACTACAATTGACTCCGTATTCAACTCGCCGGTTGCTTACACTTGAGTCGCGAACGCCTGATTGCCTTCGGTCGTTTCGCCATTGTTAGTGCATTGACTTCTCCATCTCGCTGAACTGCAATTTGGAAAAGATCAGCTGCCTTTATTATTATTTTACTTCGTGATCACTGTTTGCCCTACTCTCGACTCGCCAGTCGCTTGTTTGTCTGTACCTTCTTACGCTAGTATAGCTGTACCATTTCGGTGGGTCAGTTCATCTAAAGTGGATCTCAGTTTGCAATTCAGTAATAAAAAGACAAAAACATTATTCTTACGAAACAAGAGTTCATTGCACCTTACTGCATTCATCCATGCGAATTAGAACAATGACGCTCAGAAACGGGAAGGCGGTTGCAAGAGAAGGCGCCGCGGAGACAAGCAGTGCGGCAGTAGTTGAGACTGCCATGGAGTCCATGTCGCTTGCAACAGGAGGCTCATCTGGGCCGGAAGGATCAGAAAGCATGGAGGTTGATGAGGAGACTCAAGCAACCCCGGCTATGAATCAATCCGCCAGCAGCGGGGTGACTATCGATACTGCGAGAGCGCAGGTCAGGAACCTCGGAGCGAGGTTGAATGCCCTCATGAGTGAGCAAGCGGGAATGGAGCTGAGAATGGAGTTGCACCAGGAGGGTGGATCCGTAGAGGACAAAGTCCAGCTCGCCCTTTTCGAGAGAGATGCGGAGAAGTTGGCTATTCAAGTGAAGAAGTGGACAGGGATGGTTAATCTCATGCAGTTGGGAGAGACAGCAATGGCCACGACTACTCCCGTTGGGATGCAGGCGACATCGTCAACTGTGCTGAGTGCGCATAGGGATGATACGCTAGACGATAAGTCAGTGGTGCTGAACTCGCTCATGCCGCGTTACCATCGCAAAGTTCCCGATCACGAGATGCCGAAGATCGACCGAAAGTATTCAGGTCCTGTTCGAACAAACGTTCGTATGTTCCTGCATGAGTTCAAGACGCAGGGGAATCTGTCGTACGGCTCGAAGGTGTTTGCGGTCGTCTGCTATCGTCTACTTGCCCTAGCGAATATGGACCAGAAGGTCAGGGACAAGTGGGACGAGCTCAGAGAAAAGGCGAAAGGAGATCGTTGGTCCTGGGACAAGTGTGAGCAGGTGTTTGTCGAGTGCGCACTGTCCATCCATGAGAAGCAGACTGAAGTCGAGGACTTTGCACGACAGGGGCGCGAGAAAGGCGAGTCGTATGCAGAATTCGCGGCTAGGTTGCGTCGATTGGTAGAGGTCTATCGAGTTAGAGAGTTGGCCAAGCAATCCGATGTGGTTACCGCGCTGAAAATGTCGATCCCCTCATTGGCGATGACAGTCATGCAGCAGGGTCTCATTATCAAGTTGCTTTTGGAGCACGTTGGAATGGACGTACCTGATACCAACAGTGTCGACTTCCTGATGGAGGCTATCCCCACTGCTTTGGGTCCAGATGATTGCATGGAGTGGAAAGCCTTCATCGAAGGGTCAAAGAAGGCGAGAGTGTTGAGGGAGGCTGACGAAACCAAGACCAACCAGGTTAAGCAGCATCAGCAGCAGCAACAGAAGCAGGCCGTGAGCGGACAGGTGAGCGGAGGAGCCGCTACCAGTAATGCCACCATGTCTTCTGCTACCCCAGCTCAGCACTACCAACAGGGTCAGCCCAATGGCCGTGGAGGTGGACGAGGTCGTGGTCGTGGTCGATTCTCACATCCATACAGAGGTGAGTCCCATTGTCCTGAAACCAATCCTGTTGTTACGCCTATCAGTTGTGAAGAAGAAGAAAGTCAAGACTGCATTATTAACTATAGTGCTGTTTCTGTGAACGCTTTGCAGGAGGTTACCAGCAAAACAATCCCGGAGTCCAAACACGCTAGGTTACCAATGCCGGTGGAGCCACAAAACAATTTATTGTCGGCGGATGATACAAATAAAACAGTTGAAGTGGTAAACAACCCGAGTCTTGATGGTGTAAGAAAGAAGAAAAGAAGGAAGAAGAAAAAGAAGATCGTGTTGTCCAACTTTGCGATGTCGGTTCATCTAGGTTCATCTCCTTTGCATCCTCTTGACGGAGGGGAAGGTAGAGTTGGTGCTGACGTGGCTGCATTGAAAGGAAAGATCAAGTATGGTGCTGTGGGTGTAATCAAGGAAGGTGTTGTTGATTGTGCTCTTGGTGCGTACGAGGTTGAGGACGACAAGGATGGACTTTCTTTCGAAGAGTACACATTGGTAAATAACCCAATGATGACGTTGTACGATGGTTACCCCCTTTTCGAATTTGGTGACGGTGATTTCGCAATTGTGCAAAAGACGTATGGATCTGCCAGACGCAAGAATCAACCAGACAATCGTTTGTTTATTCCCGTCAAGATTCATGGAGATCAGCACCTTGCACTCATCGACACAGGGGCAACACACTCGTTTATCAGCGCCAGGATCGTAAGTCAATACGCAATCCCGGTTAACAAGATGACAGGATGCATCGAGTTAGCAGACTCTTCAACCATTCAACGCGTCGGCGAGACCGAGAACGTGGAGGTGGTTTGTGGATCGAACTTGCTTTGCGCACCATACGAGGTTATTGATCAACAACATGCCCTTACCATTGGTATGGATCTCTTTCATCGGTATGGCTTCAACATAATAGGACTACCTGATCCAGTCGAGTCACCTGATCGGTTACCCATGCCTGTTGAAGACGAAAAGCCAACTTTGATACCTCTTGAAAAATATAGCGTACCTTGGAGTAAGTGAGAAAGAAGATGGGGGTTCGTTTATTACTAAGTCTAGGGTTTAAATACTAAGGGACACTGCCCTTAATTATCTCACTGAGTACGCTTCTTGATAATGTACAGTCACGAAAATGCGACAGCTTTCCTCTCCCTTTGAAGAACGAATTATGAGTTCTTCGATTTCAAAGGCATGTAGTGGATGGACATAATTTATGTCTTACTTCGATTGCGGGTCCGCCTGCGTTTACGCCTTGGCGGCAATAATGATTCTTCTTCTTCATGTTGTTCTTCGTCTTGTTGTTCTTCTTGTTCATCATCAGAATCTGCAGGGGAATCGGCTGTTATCAGAGGATTTGGCTGTTCATTAATGTTTTCTTTATCTTTCCAGTAGGAAGTAAGAGAAGATCGTTCAACAAAGTTCTCTTCTGGTTCCCAGGTGTTGAGCTTGTTGGAATAGTTTTTCCATTTGACGAAATATTCTTTCTTCGTACTGTCATGTGTATGTTGCCTATGTGCTACCACTTTTTCCACCTCATAGGTGTCTGATTCATCGGCGTCGTCAAGGACCAGTTTGAGTTGAGATGGTGCGTATGATCTTTCTAAAATAGCGCCAGTTCCATCTTTAAGGATATATGCGCCACCCGCGTTGCGGTTGACTACTGTGTATGGTCCTTCATATCTTGGTGATAATTTTTCGCCGAGAATTGGATCAAGTGTCATCACTTTGGCTCCATCGGGGAACTCGTTGAGTAATACTGTACGATTGAACCTCTCTATCATTCTCTTTTGAGTGTTCTCTGTATTTTCTTTGATTGCTGGAAAGACTGTTTTGGTCATGTACTCAAGTCGTTCAAGAAGTTTATCTTGTGTTAATGGATTGTTTTTCTCATCACAGAAGTGGCTGAAACCGTTGTTTTGACGTGCAAAGAAGAGTGAAAATGGAGATGAGTTGTGTAGTGATACAATGCGTGTGTTCATCGATAATTGAATGAAAGGAAGGTGTTCGTCCCACATATGCCCCTCCTCGAGAACTTGTTTTCTGATCATTTGTACGGCTGTTTTGACATGGTTTTCGGCCACACCATTGCCGCGAGGGTGGTAAGGGGTAATAAGACGATGGTCGATGCACATTTTTGTGGTCAAAAGTTTTGTAATTGTATTGACGAATTCTCCACCATTGTCAGATTGAAGTATTTTAGGAAAGCCGATCAAACAGAATAATTCCCATAGCGCAGTGGCTACAGTTAGACCTTTTTTGTTTGGCAAGGCGCGCAAGAAAACAAATCGCGTACAAACATCAACAACTACAAGTAGTCGGACGTTTTTGTTCTTTGTCAACGGAAGCGGACCTGCCAGATCAATGGCTATGTGTTCTCCTGGAAGTTGAGCATTGATGGCTTTCATAGGATGGTATCCTTTTCGTGCAATATTGAATCGTTGACATTCTCGGCATCGTTTGATAAAATCGACACATTCTTGTGACAGATGAGGCCAAGTAAGTCCTTGTTCATGAATAGAATTGACCATTGCGTTTGCTCCAATATGTCCCATTGCATGGGTTGTAAACAATATATTGTTTCTTTTAACTGGATCTACTTCTTTGCGTTCAGTTTCTTTATCTTGGATTAGATGCATGTAGGAAATAATTTTCTTTTGATCAGCTTTAGTTGTATTTTTATTTGTGATTTCAATTGGATATAGGCGTGATAGGGCATCGGGTAATACGTTAAGAATGCCTGGGCGATAGTGCACCGTGAAAGTATAGTTTAAGATTGTTTTTTGCCAGTTGGTGAGCATTGAGTTGAGCTCAGGTTGAGTATGGATGTATACAAGTGAACGATGATCGGTATATAAGTCAAAGTGTCTTCCCCAGAGGTAGTAGTGAAAACGATTGAGTGCAAAGACAATCGCTAACAATTCTCTATGCGTTGCTGAATATCTGCGTTCACGATCTTGCAAAGATCGCGACATGAATGATATATAGTTGATAGTGTCTGGGTACTTTGGACCCTTTGGAAGTTGATAGAGTACAGCGCCAATCCCGACGTTAGAAGCATCGGTGGCTACATAGAAAGGTTGACTGAAGTCTGGGAAGGACAAGACAGGGGCTATGAGCAAGATATTTCGTAGTGCATCAAAGGCGCGCTTCTGCTCATCATTCATTACGAAAGAGTCGGTTCGACTGCGAAGTGCATCTAGAGGTGCTGCGACCGTACTGAAGTTTGGAACATATTCACGGAAAAAATTACACGTTCCGAGGTAAGATTGGATTTGTTTGGCGCAAGTGGCATATTCCACCTTGTGCATGTTCACAAGCTTCTTGGTGTCAACACTCTTGCCATGGAGACCCACAAGGAATCCAAGGAGTGAGATCTGTGTGCTGAAGAAGTTGCATTTATCGCGGTTGATAATTAATTTTGCCTCGTTGAGACGTTTAATTACAATCTTTACGTGTTCAGCGTGCTCTTTTCTCGAACGTGAAAATATAACGATGTCATCAATAAAGTTGCACACAAACGGTAGATCACCGAGGATCCGGTTCATTCCACGCTGAAATAGACTCGACAGAGGCTTCAAACCAAATGGTGCTTTTTTGAACATGTATTGAGTACCCTTATGCATGAATGCCGTGAGAGGTTGGTCCTCTTCGTGGATTGGTAGTCTGTGGTATGCTTGTGTGAGATCGATCGTGGTGTACACAGCGTTGCCTGATAGGCGGTTGAGAATATCTGGTATAAGTGGCAATGGATAATTGTCGTCTGGTAGGTGTTTGTTTAAGGGTCTTGGATCAAGACACACACGCCATAGTGTTTTGTTTCCTTCTGCATCTTTCTTTGCTGCTAGCGTTAATGAATTGTTATGGACGTTGCCTACAGGGGCTAGTTTGATTACATCGTCATTCTTCCATTTCCTGATTGCTTCATCGAAAATAGGAATTTGTTTTTCTGCAAATGGACGCGGTCGTCTAAAAAGCACAGTGCCTTCAGGTACAGGAAGAAATACCTTCATTTCCGGAACGGGACAATGACTGGTGACGGGAACTTGTTTATTCTCCTTTAGTACACCTTCAATAGCCTTGAGGAAGGTTTCTTTTTCTTTGATATATTGTTTTGTTTTTTCCTGACTTGGAATTTTTCCTGGTATGAGTGAAGGTTTGTGGTCCGGATCTGGATCTGGAAGAGTTGTAGCATCCGCTCCTGGGTCAGGTAGTCCGGTTATGCCCAGTCCAAATCGGTGGAAGAGATCGATTCCAATTGTGAATGGATATTGCTGATCTATGACCTCCAGTGGTGCTGACACATAGTGAATTCCAACCTGTAGTTCGATGTTATCTGTTCTTCCAGTTCTTGGGATTGTGATTGACTGATCAACGAGCGTGATGACTCCATCGACTGGGTTGATGTTCACTTTGTGTTTTTCTGCTATGTCCCGACGAATGCAAGAGTCTGTGGCTCCTGTGTCAACTAGTGCTTCGTACTTCTCTCCTTCGAATGTGATGGTAGTGAGAACTCTTTTTTCTCTGTCGGAGATGTTGGGTGCTTGTAGTGCTCGCAAAGTGATTGTTTTATTGTTTGTTGTATTGTAGAAGCTAAGCGAATCCATTTTCCCTAGCAGTTCCTGTAAAAGGGTGTCCTCAAGTCGTATCGCCCGAATGTTATTGTGTAATTGTGTTGATCCTGGTAGAATGGATGATGAGGCGACAGTGATGCTTGGGTTGTTTGTGCTTGCTTGCTTTGATAGTTGTTGTTGGTTGCGGAGGTGAAGTGCTTGTTTTATTGCAAACTTATGGGCACGCGAAAGAGAAATTAGTTCCGGCTCTTCTTCGGTGGCTTTGTTGTTTGTTGTATGACTGCTTAATGCAAATTCCTCTTTCTTTGCGTTCTGAATTGATTGACATTCCTTTATTTCTCCCCCCTTTTCAACATCTAAACGCATATCCAAACAAGGGCTTGGCACTGACACCGTTGTGGCAGGCGTGGGGTTTGTACGTACTCGTTGTATGACAGGAATGCGATTAACACCAGTAGCATTATTTTTGATTGTTATGGCACATTGTGTATGTTGTGTATTCAGTTCTATATTGTCTATGTTGTTTATGTTGCTAATGCTATTGTTTATGTTTTTAGTGTCGAGGGACTCGACCAAGTGGCTCATAATGTCCGTCTTGTCTGCGTGATCATTAGGATTGCTGGTTGCCTGCGGGTTATTTTGCAGAGAGAAGGGTATGTCAGTGTTATTATTGCTTTGATTAAATGTTAATTCAGCATAATTATTTAGTTTCATTGCATTTATGGTGATGGTAGATTGCTTACCTTGAGTACCGTTCTGCTGTTGTTCTTGACGCATTCTTGTGCGGCAGTCTGCATAGGTGTGACCCCTGTTGCTGCAGAATGTGCAGAATCGGCAGTCCTTGGTTTCGTGCGAGTTATTCCAGCTGCAGCCTTGGCAGAACTTCATGCCTGCTCGAGGAGGTTGCCCGGGTGCTTGCCCAAAAGGGGGCTGACTGTTGCTGCGTCCCATGGGGTTCATTCTCCCTTGTCCTCGGCCTCGGAAAGTTCCTCTGAGTGCTCCGCGAGATGCTCCGCGTGATCCTCGAACTCCATTTGTGAAGGTGTTGTGCCGTGGCCCAAAAGACTGCTGCTGCTGTTGCAATTGATCCTGAGATCGTCCCACTGCCCGAGGTTGATCGATTGCATCCTCAGGTCCCGTTAATGTGCTCATCAGTGCACATAGGGTATTGATCGATTTAAAGGCTGTGGCGTCTGGGTTCTTTATCTGATGCTTAAAGAGCAGGAAATCGTACTCCATCCCCGGGATCGACCTCCCGAGTTGATGAAGGATGATGTCGTTATCGTCTTGGATTCCATTCACTCGTGCATGCCGAAGGATACGAGCGGAATAACGGTTATACGTCTCGCCCATATTGCGTCCCATGTCTGCCATGTTCCGCATGTTCTCCAAACGTTCCTCTTTGGTGAGGCAGATGCTGAGGAATACCTTCTCCGCCATGTCCCAACCGATGTTTCCTTCGATGGCGGCGAATCGACGTTGTAGCTCTTGTTGATAATGGTCGTCGTTAGTGAGGACGATGAGATACCGATGACACTCGTTTTCGAAGGTATCCATGCCGAGACGTGTTTTGAGATGGGTTGCGAAGCGCTCGAGAAAGACTCTGGTCTCATTGGTTTCATAGGCTGTGGCTGGATTCAACGAGAATCTGGGCATGTCGGGTGTTGGTTTGATGGCCGCTTGTTGGGTCATTGATGTTGCGACTACCGCCGTTGGGGTGTTGTTGGCAATTGTTGCGGTCGCTGCTGTTGGCGTTAATATGGTGGAGTGTGCTGAGATGGTGGACCCTGGGTGCTTCTTTATCCTGAGCTCATACAGCGATGACTCCAGTTGCTTGATCAATTGTGCATTGTCTTTCTCCTTGTCTTTGTTGATAGCAATTTGTTGCTGATAGTGTTGGAGCAGGTGCTGAGGTGGTCGTCCTGCCAGAAGGGTCGACATGTACACAATCTGTTCGGATAGAGCGATGTTCTCCGCTTTGAGACTGGCTAGCGTGTTGGTTGCGACTTC